CCCAGGCAGGTGGTACAGTGGCGTCAAAGGTGGGGCTCAAGGTGAAAAGGGCGGGGAAGAGGAGGCCTGATCCTGAGCTTCCTTCCCTCTGTCTCTGTACGTGTGCTTCTCTATTTCTTTATTTCTCTCATTTTATTTCTCTGCCTCTGTCTTTGTTATCTCTTCTTATTTCTCTCTCTTTTTAGTTCCCTCTAACTTTCTCCATTTCTCTCTGCCTTGATCTCTCTTTTTCTCTTTCCTTTTCTTTCTTTCTCTGTCTCTCTCTGTTTCTCTCCCCCCAGCCTCCCTCCCTCCCTCCGTCTCTGTCTCTCACTGGTAGGGGTGCAGTGGAAGTGTCCGCAAGGCGCGTGGCGTTGTGGTACAGATGGCGCTCTGCTCGCGGCAGCAGCAGCTGCAAAGTCAAGCTCCTCTGTCTCACGCGCAGTGGCTACAGCACCGTGTCCTCCTCGGACCAGTCCCTTGCAGGAGGTTGGACACTGTTTCTGGAAGCAGAGCTTATAAGCCAGGTTCTTCAGGCACCCAGTGATTCTGTGAGCTACCCCATATCCTCTTTTTTTTTTTTTTTTTTTTTTGTGGTACGCGGGCCTCTCACTGTTGTGGCCTCTCCCGTTGCGGAGCACAGGCTCCGGACGTGCAGGCTCAGCAGCCATGGCTCACGGGCCCAGCCACTCCGCGGCATGTGGGATCTTCCCGGACGGGGCCACGAACCTGCATCCCCTGCATCGGCAGGCGGACTCTCAACCACTGTGCCACCAGGGAAGCCCTACCCCACATCCTCTTAACAAACTCCTCTCTTGCTCAGTCAGCCAGAGCTGCTTCTCGTGCCTGCAAATAAGAACCCTGACAGAGACATCAGGAAAGTTGCCGACAGAATTACAATGAAAATTAACGATAAAGAAAATATTTTTTAAATCTTTAGAATTGATGAGAACTTGAGAGCTGCTTAGAGATTAGCTAACACAACATCCCAGTTTGACAGTTGAAAGAATAAGTTTCAATCCAGGCAGCTCAGGAAGACTCAGCCCAGTCTGGACCCCGGGCCTCCTGACTCCAAGGGGCCACATTAGGGATTCGCCTTCTGGGAGAAGCCACAGTTGGAAGCTTCCTGGAAACACATTTCTTGGGAGAAAGAAAGGCTGGATATGAAAAGATGCTCCGTTTCATACGTCATCAGGGAAATGCAGATTCAACAATGAGATACCACTACACATGTTTTTGAATGGCCAAGGTACAGACCACAGACACCACCAAATGCCAGTGAGGGGCTTCCCTGGTGACACAGTGGTTGAGAGTCCACCTGCCGATGCAGGGGACACAGGTTCGTGCCCCGGTCCGGGAAGATCCCACATGCCGCGGAGCGGCTGGGGCCGTGAGCCATGGCCGCTGAGCCTGCGCGTCCGGAGCCTGTGCTCCGCAACGGGAGGGGCCACAGCAGTGAGAGGCCCGCGTACCGCGAAAAAAAAAAAAAAATGCCAGTGAGGATGTCGAACAACAGGAACTCTCGTCACTGCCGCTGAGAATGCAAAATGGTTCAGCCACTTCGAAAGACAGACAGTTTCTTACAAAACTAAACATACCCTTACCATACGATCTAGCCATCGCACTCCTTGGTATTTATCCAAAGGAACTGAAAACTTATGCCCAGACAAAAACTTGCACACAAATGTTTATAGCAGCTGGATTCATAACTGCCCAAACTTGGAAGCCTAAGTAGGTGACTTGATAAATAAACTATATTACATCTACAATGGAATAGTAAAAGACATGAGTTATCAAGCCATGAAAAGACCTCGAGGAAATGTAAATGCATATGTTTATGTGAAGGAAGCCAATCTGAAAAGGCGAAATACTGTGTGGTTCCAACTATATGACGCTCTGGAAAAGGCAAAACAGTAGAGACAGTAAAAGGATCAGTGGTTGTCAGCAGTTGAGCACACATGGGAGGAATGAAGGACAGCACGGAGGGTTTTTAGGCCAGCGAAGCTATTCTGTAGGACGCTATAATGATGGCTACCTGTCACTGTCCATTTGTCCAAACCCACAGGATGTATAACACCAAGAGGGAACCCGAATGTCAACTCCAGACTTCGGGTGACAATGACGTGTTGGCGAAGGTTCGTTACTGTAACACACATACCATCTGGTGAGGGCTGTAGATAGCGGGGGAGTCTGTGCATGGGCAGGGATGGGGGTATATGGGACCTCTCTGTACCTTCCCCTCAATTTTGCTGTGCACTTAAAACTGCTCTAAAGAAACTGTCTTGATAAAAAAAAAAATAAATTTCAGTGATAAAAGAGGCCCATAGATTAAAAAGGATTTCAGAGATATCTTAATTTTAAAAAACACAGAAGCTCAAAAGGCTAGTATTCGTCAACCTTGGGCCTGATGAAAATTCCATCCCTAAAGGTTAAAAGGACGGGCTCGGCTTTTATAAGGGAAGAGGGTGAAGTCTGGGGTCTCATCAGCTAAAGGGCCTGACACCGGATGGCAGCCGGGCAGCCACCAGGCTCAGTGCCTCCCCGGGGCCGCCTCTCGGGGCTCCCTGAGCCATCCCAGCGACAGGGGTTCTAGCAGGAGCTCCTGTTCTGGGAACGGCAGCTGAACTGCCCAGCTGAGACTCAAAACAGAACCGGAGGACTGCCTCCACGCCTGCAGGCCGAGAGCTGGGTCCAGCTGCAGCCAGACGGAGAAAAGTGTGTCCACGTGACTCCCGGCTGACTCAGGGCTTGCCGTGAAGGGTTATTTCTTAGCGTTTCACTCTAAGGATTGCGACACCACCCTTCATCAGTATGTGCGATTGTGCAATCCTCTAGCCCTATAAATACAGTGCCACTGCAGCCGCTGGAAGCCTCTGAGAGCTCAGCCTCCCAGAAGCCTCTGCCCTCCCCGGGGATCCGGGCCGCCTGCCACCACCATGAGGGTCCTCTACCTGCTGCTGCTGACTCTCGGCCTCCTCTTTTCACAGCTGGCCACAGGTGAGCTGGGGACCTGCTGCAGCGCCCGCCCCGGGGCTGGGACTTGGGGCTGAGTCTAAGAACAGCGGCCTCTGTGTCCCCAGGACAGATCAGCAGGAAGGCATCCTCGAGGCCGAGCGGCCTGCTGGGGGCAGAAGGCCGTGGGCAGAAGCCTACCGAGCCTGCAGGGTCTGGGCCATCCCGGCCGCTAGGGGCAAGCGCGCCTGCCTGGAGCATCCCCAGGCCGATTCTCCCCGGTGCCTGAGGGCAGCCGAGCTGCAGGAGGGCCAGACTCCCGTCTCTCTGTCTGTCCCTTAGGGCTCCCTTCCCTCTGCACTTGGCAAGGATGTGAGGCCCACGCCAGGCAGCTCCCAGCACCTCCCAGCCCTGTCTTTGTCTCGGGCATCCTGAAAGTATCCTATGGGGAAGGGGATCACCTATTCCCTCTGCAGAACGTCTCCTCACCCTGAGAGGTCAGGGTCCGAGGCAGCCGAGAGGTGCAGGCTGCCACGCCATCTCTCTCCAGGTCCCGGGGTGGGCTCTCCCAGGTGCCCTGCTGCAAGCAGATGCTTCCCGCCCCGCCCACAAGACCAGCTCAGCTGGAATCCTTGACTCACCTGTGTGCAGGCAGGCAGAGATCCACCTTCCTTGAGAAATCGGTTCACATCCTCCAGGGTGGGCCATTCCCCAGTGCAGAGCAGGGGAGCTCTGTGGCAGGCCCAGCTCCCCTGGGTCAAGGCAGCAGTGCCCCTGACGTAAGAGAAGGTGAGACTCTTCTGGCAGAATCGGGACACATTTTACCCCAGCCCCGTCGCTCGCTCACTAAGTGATCTTGAGCGAGTCTCACATTCTGGGTTTTAGTTTCCGCATCTGCGAGTTGAGCGCGCTGTGGCAGGTGGCTCTAACAGTGTTAGAGCTCTGGAATTCTCTGAAAGACCCACTTGTGCTTTTCTCCAGGCCATCATTTTAGTGTGCAGACGTGCCTAATTTGCTCCAGGGGTGCCTCAGTGTTCCCCTCGGACAACTGGGTTCAGAGGTATTCCAATGCAGAGTTTTAAGGTTTCCAGGTGGAATGCATAAGAGAGGTGGAGAAATTAATTTAGTGAGTTGCAACCTTGTTTTCTCAAAAGAATAGAAAATACCAGTGCATGCCACGCAGTCAGCGTCTCCTCTGTTTGATCACACTCATCTCATTGCGTCTGTGTTGGTACTGAGTAGCCGTGCAAAATCTCTTACTGCAGCTCAGGTACACTCAAAATGTTTGAAAGTCACTCTGTTAACGTGAAGAGCTCTTTTCAGTCTATGACATGTAAATATGATTACGAGCATCTCATGCAGAGTTGAGAAAATGAAAGTGTCCCCAAGGGTATGTGCAGGAGCAGATAAACTTACTAATCACTCGTGAATCATCAGCTAACATCGTGCAGCACTTAGTGCACGCGGGATCAGCTAAGACGCTGTCCTCCGACGCCAGGCAGGCCCTGTCTGGACAGAACTATCAGTGAATGGATTCCCAGGATGGGGACCGGGGCCCTCAGGACCAGTTGCTGACCCCAGCTCGTCTTCTAGAAAGGCAAGATTAGCACCCACCCTCCACCTCCCAGCTCACGCTGGGAGGCTGCGAGCGGCCGAGGTCCTTGCACGGCAAGCACCACCTCTGCAGTGCCTCTACTGTCCCAAGACGTTTGCATCTTAAAAGAGGGCCACAGGCAAGGGCAAACTCGACATGAGTGTTTTCTGGGGGATGTCGTGCTGTCTGGATGCTGTTATCTGGGTGGAAAGAGCCCCAGGTGTCTTCCGCGTTGGAACACACAGGTGCCCCCAGCCTGAGTCCCCCGGTGCCACAGCGCAGGTCTCTTCTTTACCCTCAGGCACCGGTTGCGCTTCTGGTCATTGCGTCCTCACTGCTGTGCAGGGGTTGTCGCAGCTGCTGCAGCCGCCCCTACCATACCCACCCTGCCCGTGGGCCGCACAGTTGCGGGGTCACTGCAGGGAGGGAGCGGGGGCTGCTCAGCAACGCTGAGGGAAATCGAGGTCACTACAGGAGATCCTAAGACTTGACGTTCCCTTTAGCAGTTTTCATCTGTCAGAAAAAAAAAAAAAATACGGGTTGCCCACTTGTATCTTATTCAAATGGTCTTTCTGTGAATGCAGAACGATGTCACAATGACAAGGCGACCCAGGTCCCTGCATCAGCTGGATGGGACCCCAGCCGACGTGTTGAGAAATCAGGACAGGTTGACGTTGTTCCCTCACTGATTCAAGGAGTGTTTGGTTAAGAGCTGCTGTGGGCAGGTGTTGCCCAGGAACAGGGGATGCGCCAGGAAACACAGCCCTGGGTCTCATCTCTACACATTCCAGAAACAGAGCGGGACGAGAAAACCGATTACATAATTACTTAACTAATGGCAACCGTGTTGTGAAATGCTGTTAAGTGCAGGACGCTAGGAGAACACATGACAGTGAGAGCTGACCTGGCCTTGAGGAAGCTAAGGGACGGAAAATTGTAAGTCATTTTGGTGTTCATGATACTTTCACATAAATATTTCTTTTAATTTCCTCCCAACATTTAACAGTCAGGATATGCCACCAAAAAAAAACAAAAAAGAAAAGAAAATCTGATTTTTATCTTCTCTTTTTTAAAATTTAGAAAAGTTTTAAAACTTTTAATTTTATATTGGAATATAGTTGATTAACAATGTTGTGTTAGTTTCAGGTGTACAGCAAGGTGATTCAGTTATACATATACATGTATCTATTCTTTTTCAAATTCTTTTCCCATTTAGGTTGTTACATAATATTGAGCAGAGTTCCCTGTACTACAGAGTAGGTCCTTGTTGGTTATCCAGTTTAAATACAGCAGTGTGTAAGTGTTATCTTGTCTTAAAAACACAAAAGATGTGGCAACATTCCTACATGGCAACAGTGAGCTGCAACTAAACAGCGGCTGTGCCTCCAGACGGGACTCCCTCCCCATGTCACTGCAGACCCCACTGGGCCCTAATGCCTCACCTCAGCCCACTTCACAGATTTGTGTTACCCGCCTGGCTGCAGTGGGCAGCTGGATTTGCAGCCCTGAATTAACGAAACCAGTGAAAGGAGAGAAGTCAAGGACAAAGCAGACGGAAAGGATAGCTGGTGTGAAAGCCTAGAGATGAAGAGAAATAGAAAACCATAGCTCTCGCTTTTAGTTCAGTCCTCCCAGTGGCCCCGTGGGGGAGGAAGAACCATTATTCCCATTTTCTGGGTAAATAACAATAATGAAGTCACATGACTGGTAGCAGAGCAGGGACTCCCAGGCCCTCAGCTGCAACACTGCAGGCCGCTCAAGGCACAGAGCGTGCCAGGGAGCAGAGAGGAGCCAGGATGGTGATGCGGGGGCAGATCCAGTGAGGGCTGAGGCAGCAGGAAACGCATCTGGGTGCGAGTGAGCCCCGGGGGGTTTTAAACCCACGAGTGACAGAATCAGAAATGGCTTCTTTAAGAGACCGGTTTGCTGGGCTTCCCTGGTGGTTAAGAATCCGCCTGCCAATGCAGGGGATACGGGTTTGAGCCCTGGTCCGGGAAGATCCCACATGTCACAGAGTAACTAAGCCTGTGCGCCACAACTACTGAGCCTGTGCTCCAGAGCCTGTGAGCCACAACTACTGAGCCTGAACTCTAGAGCCCACAAGCCACAGCTACTGAGCCTGTGCTCTAGAGCCCGTGCACCACAACTACTGAGCCTGCACTCTAGAGCCCACGAGCCACAACTACTGAGCCTGCACTCTAGAGCCCACGAGCCACAACTACTGAGCCTGCATGCTACAGCTACTGAGCCTGTGCACCTACAGCCCGTGCTCCGCAAGAAGAGAAGCCACCACAGTAAGAAGCCCACGCACCGCAATGAAGAGTAGCCCCGCTCGCCGCAACTAGAGAAAGCCCGCGCACAGCAACGAAGACCCAATGCAGCCGAAAATAAATAAATAAATAAATTTTTTTAAAAAAGAGACTGGTTTGCTGCCACGTGGAGGTTGATCAGAGGAGAGGACAGTAGATACAGGGGGACAGTGAGGACGGTCTTCCTGTAAACAGGGCCCACAGCTGCGCTTTTGCCAGGTGATCAGCAAGTTAACCAAAATTAATGCCACTGATAGAGTCATGGCCCAATCCTCAGTCCTCTTCTTTCCTTTCCCTCCGGACACGGATACCACGTGCATTCCCGGGAGTCTGGGCCTCTGTTTCCTCACCTTTAAAGTGACGGATGAGGCAAAACAAGTCCCAGCCCAACGTCCTGTGACCCTGGATCTCCACCTGGCCCTGCTCACACCTGAGTGTCGCAGAGTGTGTCACTCTGACCTGCTGGCCCGAATTCCTTCCACCTCGCAGAACTCTGGCAACAGCACCAGGAATGTGCCTGCTACGGCCTCGGATCCCGTCCAGAAAAACACGCTCTCCGGTGCCTCAGACACAAGCCCCTGATTCCTACGAAGCAGACCCGACAGAGGCACCCGATTAGCAATGCAGGGGAAACAGAGTCATCCTCAGAAACGCCGGTCACACGGCACCGACTGTGGTACTTCATAGTGCCACGAGCAACTCCGAAAACATCTCACTAAGTGTCCCCAGCATCTGCATCCGTCATGCAGGGACGACTCTTATCCCCACGTTAGAGATGGTTTTTGCAGGGAATCTCAGAGAGGCTGACTTTTCAAATACTCAGCCCGCGAATACCAAGGACTCGAATCCAGCTCTGACTCGAGCTCCTATATTCTTTTCCCACACCTCCCAGAGACCTCTGGATACGTCACCAGCAAATCAATTTATCCTAAGGATAATCTAGATGGAAGTGACTTAAAGCTTTCATGACCTTAATAGGAGGCACTGCTGGTTATCAGTGGCCGGCAAGTGTTTCTAGGAACAGGGACGTCATGGGTGACCCGTCTGTGGAAGAGGGGCCCTGAGTTTTCACTTGGTTTGGAGTTCTGTTATTTGTTTTGCAGGAGTGCCTTGTATATATTTGATTTCTTCCCCAGATATCTTGAAAAGATCCACAGAGGTGAAGTCCGACCCTCTCTGGCCTCCACTGACCGCCTGAGCCACCAGCACGTCTCCTAAGTGGACAAGCGACCTCTATTGTAATGTCCGCAATGGGAGGGAACCCACTCACTCGTGGGCAACCCTTCCCCTGGCACACTGCCAACCAGCCACCTTGTCCTGACTGGGGAAAGAGCCCAGCTGACTGGCCCAGGCCCACATTCCGAGACGACCAGTCTCACGTCGCTTCCCACGGACAAGTCCGTGTATGCATCACCACAGGTGTGGGACCCCACGGCCAGCGCGGGCAAATCCGGATTTCACCCTATGGATCCTCAGACCTCTGTCTGTGTCTGCTCCTCTCACATCTCAGATCCATGGGTGCCGCCAACGCTGTTCTGGCTCCTGACTTTCTCCACGCCTGTGCTTTTCTGCTGCTTATGCGGTGCAGTCCTCCAGGGCAGGGGGTAGGGGTCCCGGCGGGGGTAGAGCTCAGGCCTCTTCTTCTCCAAAACCCTTGTCATTTCGGCACCTCACTCCGCTTTAGCCTGGTGGTCTTTTAGGACAAGAAATTTATATTTTAGTCAAAAGCTCCCCAATTTTCCCTTCTGACATTGTTCCAAAACTTCACTTGCACCTCCAACTGTATACTGTCAATCCAACTTCAGAGGAGAGTGCCGGGGAACAGGGTCCGCTGCCCGTGGCCTGAGGACCACACGCCCAATCTCAGAGCTCCCCGCTCCTGTCCCTCTGAAAGGCTCTTTAAGAAATTTTATTTTCGTGGCTTTTTTATATAAAGTCCAAAGATCCCCCCATGTTTCCAATGTATCTTCTTCTCTGTAGACTTTTTCACCTGCCCTTTTCCTTGAACCTCCACCATCTGACCTGCACAGGCTGTGTCCCGTCTCCGCAGCACTGACAGCTGTCCATGTCCCTCAGGCAGATTTATTTCCTGATGACTCTGTAACAGTCAAGCCCCTGCTGTGTTCACTGCCATGAACATTCTTCCTCTCATTTTCTTCTGGGACTGACCCACTGGTACTTATTTTCTAGTTAATTTCCTGCTACTTAATCACAACAGCCCTTCATTCAGCCAACACGTATTATTACAGTTGACTTAAAAAACAGTTGGTGTTGTAGTTGCACTTGGGTGGGATTATTAAGAGTCCAGCTATAATTGGCCTAATAACTGTGTAGTATTTGAGAGTCTCTCTTTTCACGGCAAGCATAGAAGCTGGTACAAGCCTGCTTTCCTAACAGGCCTGCTCCCTTCACCCCTCCTTATCCTTCATTCTTACCTATAAGCGCGCTCCCTCTTTTCCATGTTCCTCTGGTTCACGGCGCTCCAGAGGCCGCCACATGATGTGTTGGACTGTATTTCTCAGACCAGCTGAATAAGGACCAAGATAAGAATGAGCGCAAGTCTAGAGACGTACTATCATTCTTGGGAAAGGGGAGGAGAAGAGCGGGGCTGTGAGTTATCCAAGGAGCTTGCATGCCCGGGGAGTGGACGGAAACGGACCAAGGCATGATGGGAGAGGGTGTACACAGCACATAGCACAGGAGGCCCACAGTGCTAGGAATACACGGAAGACCTTTTCAAAAGCAACTCTTATTGTTTTAATTTTTAATTGTAAAATATAACATGTATCCAGAAAAGTACATAAAACTCGAATGTATAATTTAATGAATTATTATAAAACAAGCACTCCTGTAACCACAGTGTGAGCCAAGAACTAGAACTTGGCCAGCACCTAAGAGGCTCTCCTCCAGGCTTCTCGGTCACAAATCCCTCCTTCCCCCAAAAGCAATCATCACTTGACTTTTATGGTCATAACTTCCCATATTCCTTATAGTTTTACCATGTTAACATTCATGCTGAATAATATAGCTTGGTTTGTGTATACATTTCAACTGACTACGTGTCAAGAGGTGGTGGCATTGCTGGGTCGTAGCATGTGCTTATACTACTGAATTTTAATGAATAATGCCAAACTGTTCTCCAAAAGCGTATATATCAACTTACGCTCCTACAACCAATGAATGGAAGTACCTGTTCTTCCATATCTACGTCAACGCTTGATAATGTCAATCATTTTAAAATTTTAGCCATCGGGTGAGAGGAGTGGCATAGCATTGGCGATTTAATTTGCATTTCCCTGATAAATAATAAGTTGAGTACTTTTGTGTATAATTACTGGCCACTTGGATATCTTTTGTGAAGTACCTGTTTGTCTTCTGCCCATATGTTCTATCAGATTATCTGTCTTTTCTTAATGATTTGTAGTAGCTCTTTATATATTCTGCATAGAAGCTCTTTGTTGGTTGTAAGTATTAGAAATATCTTCTCCTACCTTGTGCCTTAATTTTTCACTCTCTGAATGGAAACTTTCCTTAAGCAGAGGTTTTCCACATTATTTTAATGTGGTTAAACGTGTCATATCTTTTCCTTTAGGGTTAGCGCTTTTGTACCTTAAGAAATCTTTTTTTACCCCAAAGGCATGAAGAAAGTGTTCAGTGCCATTTTCTGGGGGCTTACTGTTTTTCCTTTTACATTTAGGCTTATAACCATCTGGCAGTGGTTTTTAGTGTGCACGTATGGTCCGAGCTAAGAGTAAAGGGTTTTTTTTTCCACTATGAACATCCAGTTGTCCCAGAACCACCCACTGAGAAGACCATTTTTCTCCACTGTTCTGCGGAGCCACTGTTGTTCTACTTCAGCTCTGCACATATGCATGTATCTCTTTCTGCTGTCCTGCTTCTGTATTTGTCTGCCCTCGTATCCTCACCACACTGTCTAATTACAGTGGCTCTGTAATTAGTCTCAAAATCCAGTAAAGCAAATTCTCCCGCCTTCTCTTCTATGAGTGTCTTGGCTATTCTTGGTCCTTGGAATTTCCATATATGTTTTAGAATCAGCTCATCAAGTTTCACTGAAAGAAATCTCTTGGGATTTTATGGTATTGGGTTAAATCTGCAGCTTACTTTGGGGAAAATTAACATTTTAAAAATAATGAATCCTCCAGTGCTTAAACATAGTATTTCTACTTATTTAGGGCCTCTTTAAATTCAAAAAAATACTGTATTCTTTATAGATAGAGGTATTGCACATAATTTCTTAGATTTATAACTAGGCATATTTTATGCTCTTCTATATGGTGTTTTTATTTTATCTCCTTTTTTCTGTTGGTTGCTAATATACAGAAGTAAAATTCATTTTTTCTTTTTTGTATGTTGATCTCAGCAAATTTGCTAAATGTGCCTGTTCATTCCTTTTGGATTGCCTACATATAATCATAATGTCTGCAAATAGAGACAATTTTATTTCTTCCTTTCCAAGCCTTGTACCTTTTTTTTTTTTTTCTCTTATCCCCCTGGCCAGTACTTCAAGTACAATGTGGAATGATAATGACAATAGCAGTTATGCTGGTCTGATTGCCAATCTCATGGAATGTTTTCAATACTTGACCATTAACTGTACTGTATGTTGTAGGCTTCTGTAGGTACTCCTTATCAGATTAGGGAAGTTTCCTCCAGTTTCTTATTTGCTAGGAGCTTTTTTTTTTTAAATCATGAATCAATGTTGATTTTTTTCCCAATATCTTTCTGCATCTATTAAGATAATATAATCATTGGCTGATTAGATTATGGGAACATTGAATCTCCCTGGGCCTCAGTTTCCCTGTCTGTAAGTTAGGAAAAAGTGATACATTCCTTGGAGGATTAAATGCAACCATAAACGTGTTAGTTCCCCACCAAAGGAAAGATGACCAGCTTCAGGATCTTAGAAATGGATGAGATCACATAATCTAGTCTCCTCAATTTTAAATTTGAGAAGCTGGGGCTCAGAAAGTTTGAGTGCTTTGCTAAAAATCACACAAATTCATTCTAGAACAAGGTATGTAACCAAAGTACCCTGACATTAAATATGTTGCTATTTCTTTGGGGTTCGATAATGTACTAGATACTCAAAGATAACGCCAGAAATGAGTTCCTGCTGAGCGTGGTGACACCATAATTCACTAGCAGAGAGGTGGAGTGAGAACTGGTGGGGGTCATGGGATCTACCTCTGGTCCTGGCTCTGCCTGTGGCCAACTGCATGCCCTGGGGGGCATCGCCAGACCTCAGCGTCTTCATCTAGGGAGAGAATCACAGAGAGGTGGAAGTAGTTGAGCTCTGAGGTCCATCTGGGCTCTAAAAAGCCACAGTTGGTTGTATTTGGGTCTCCTCTTTACCCAACAAAAGGAAGGGTAAATATAACATTAAATATACATATATTTAAATGTTGGTATAAATACACACACACACACACACACATACCAACAACAACAAGAAAAAGAAAGTGTAGACCTTCTGATTTCAAAGGGCTTTCACATTCATTAGCTTGATCCATCTTCCTAATAACGATCACTTGGAGGACGTACTGAAGGAAGGATTCAATCTTGCAGCAGGGGTTGGACTGAGTATCTTTCCAGCTCTGACATCTTCCAATGAAGAGCAACAAAAGCTAGAACTGGAGATTGAGAGAGTCTAGTTGACTATGATCTTACTGGAGGTCGATATTGTGGTGAGGCTTTTAAAACCTGGAACAATCTTGAACAGCCTTGGCAGGAACCAATACAATGTATAGAAAGAACACAGGCTGGAGATCAGGAGACTGTGTTTTGTGTGAGCAACTATGTGGCCTTGGCCTAAGATGCTTCCCTCGGACGGGTGGGACCAGCGTGTCTCTCAATGCCCTTCCATCTCCATGGCAACACAGTCCAATGAGATGTTCTGTGATGATGGAAATATTCTACCGCTGCATGGTCCAGTGCAGTAACCACTAGCCACACGTGGCCATCAGGCACTTGCAATGTGGGTGATGTAGTTTCAATTAATTAAAATATGTCACCGCACGTAGCTGGTGGCCACCACATTGCACAGCACAGCTCTGTAGTGAACAAAATGAGATGAAGCCTCTTTTTGCTCTTGGTAGACGGGACACGTCTAAAGTATTTTGTGTTTATTTCAGGCCTCAAACTTAAGGAAGTCTATCCATGAACTGAACACATCCAGAGGAGAATGAACAGGGTTGTGAAGTGTCTGGAAACTAGACACTGAGAAAAATGAGAAAAAGAAGACTTTTAAGGCAGCAGAATGACTGAAAATGGGACAGCCTTCTGAAAGAGTGCTTAGACTTGCCTGTATAAAGCAGGAAAAGTGCCACTAGCTGCAAGTTACTGAGAGGACAGTTTCCATCAGTATGAAAACCAAGTGTCCGGCAGGCAGAGATTAGATGCCTGTCTCCCAGGGTGTCTGCTCCAGGGTGGGCGGCGTAAACAACAGACGCTCGCTTCTCGTAGTTCTGGGCGGTAAAACTTCAAGATCAAGGTGTTGGTTTGGTTTCTCCTGATGCCTCCCTCCTCGGCTGACAGAGGGCCGCCTTCTGTCCTCACACGGCCTTTCCTCTTTGTGCTGACACATCACTTGTGTCCCTTTGTGTGTCCAAATTTCCTCTTCTTACAAGGACACTATTGATTAGTGATCACCCATATACCTCCTTTAACCGCAATCAGTTCTTTGAAGGCCCCATCTCCAAATACAGTCACATTCTGAGGTCCTCGGGGGCTTAGGGCTTCAACTATGAATGGGGGGGGAACATTGTGGGGGGGTTTCAGGCCATAACACCTGGCAACAGAGAGACACAAAATAATGGCTAGATAGCTGCTTGCCAGGGGTATCAGAGGGCAGCTTTTTCTGCTGGATACAGTGGAAGACGAGTCTAGAGGTCTTCAAATTATGAGATTCTGTGACGGAGAGGAAGACAAAATAAATTCCAACTGGGAAAATGATGAAAGCTTTATAGAGTAGCTATAATTTTAACCTGACATTAAAGGATCATAGATTGCAGCAGACACGGTGATGGGGGTGGGGGTGGGGGGTGGGCAGGGATTCAAGCTGGAGGGAATGATGTAACTAAACAGCACAGGAGTAAAAGGAAAGTTCAGGAATGCTCCTGGAATTCGAAAGATGCTTCTGCATTTCTGAAACAGAGGATGGCAACAGTACAAAGTGGTCGAATACCTATCTGGGGACTAACGTGAATTCCCTGTACACCAAAGCTCCCTGGGCAGGAGAAAGCCCGCTCAGAACCCTGCTGTTCATCTCTGGCTGCCCACTGTTTGGCCACAGCTGGCACAGACCTCGGACGGAGGGGTCTCTTTAGATGCCTTATTTCATGAGCAGCCTCACAGATCAACTGAGTGCAAAGCTCTTGGAAGGGAAACCCCTGTGACGTGCTCTGCAAAGGGTTGTCTGTTCTGCTTTCACCGAGTGTTCTGAAGTCCCTGTGGCTGCAAGCCCGGAGTCTGAAGTGCTCTCTTTCCCTTCTCATAGGTGTTAACCTGCTTACGGGTTTCGGCCAGAGGTCCGACCACTACATATGTGTCAAGAAAGGGGGGACCTGCAACTTCTCCTCCTGCCCGCTATTCCAAAAGATTGAAGGCACCTGTTACGGCAAAAAAGCCAAGTGCTGCATCCGTTGACTTTGGGCTGGAGCATGGGCAGAGGGGACCCAGAAGCCAAGTGAAGTACTTGTAACTGTTGTTTGAATAAAAGAAGGTTTTTTCGAGGCGTACGTCCTTCAGACCAATATGAGTCTTGTGTCTCCTTTTAGAAGAAGTTCAGAAAGTATGAAGGTCAGAAGGGCAGACAGGCTGAGCCACAAAGCCTGTCCAGGATGGGACTGGGGGATGCTGACTAGGCTGTGACCTGTTTCACTGCCACTTTGTTTCATCAGCAGATCTACACAGGAGGGATGCAGGGGGTCCACGTGAGACTAAGGACACCTGATGACGAGATGACACAGCTTCAGGCCTCCCTCTGTCCCAGCAGAAGTTCACCCCTGATTCAGCGGTCTCAGCTGCCTGCCCATCTGCAGAGGCCAGAACCGCTGCCCTTTCTCCTCCCTGGGCCGGGGGCAGTGGGTTGTGGGTTGGATAACCTCAGCATTTGAGAACCTTCGCTGGGACCATAAAGCTATTCCTATTTCACTCTGTAGGCCTAATAGTAGGGCTCCCGGGTGTCCATTCTTCACTCCAGCACAATCACGTGGTCTATTTACATGTCACTTAGAAAAGCATCCTCTACGACCACTGCCCCGCCTTTCATCATTTCTGCACCTTTAGGCCTGTAGACACCCACTGATGGGGAAGAGGGAGCTGCCTTCCCTTTTTTCCAATAAATTTCTTACAACTCCTGATGATCCGTGTGCTTCTGTCCTCTCCTTCATCAGGCAACAGCAATTCCACATTCCACTTCGATAAATTGCAAGCACAAATAAAAATCAAACATTAGAAAAACTTTGGGGGAATTCCCTGGCGGTCCAGTGGTTAGGACTCCTCGTTTTCACTGCCCCGGACCCAGGTTCAATCCCTGGTTAAGGAACTAAGATCCTGCAAGCCACGTGGCACAGCCCCCACCCCCCAAAAATTTGCCCCCATCCCCCAGTGATGCATTTAGACGCCACACCCCTCTTTTGTGAGGGAAAGGCAGAGGAGATGCCATTATGCTGTGCACACTAACCGCTACTCGGGCGTTCTCTGTAACAGGAACACGGCAAGTGTTCATTACACTGCGTCCAGGCCTCCCCCGACTCCTGAAAGGCTAAGAAATCATCTGTTGACTTAAAAAAATATTCACACCCTGACAGTTGAGAGTTATGTTTTGTTTGGCGGGAAAGTTTAGGACTTCAAGCCTGGGAGGCAGCATCTCAGGTAACCCTGAGAGAACTTCTCCCAGGAAGCGAGGGGGGAGCCAGGTTATACAGAAGTTTTGCAACAAAGGGCAGGTAGTCAGGAACGTCAAAAGATTATTGTTAATTAAAGAAAACCAGATATCCCAAGTTAAGGAATTTAACTTAGCTCTTTTCTGTGTATGGGAAGATGCAAGAGTCTGGGCTCCCCGAAATCATTCCTTTGATATGCACCTCAGCTATCTGGGGCCAGTATCCTGTGTGTTCCCATCCTGAGTTTCCTCAGGGCTCATGGTAGGGAGTGGCAGCAGTCTGATGGCGGCTAGATGGCAGGCATTCTTTCCTTCCTGAGTTCCCTCAGGGCTCAGCAGCTCCCCCGTTGGCTGTGGTTGCAATCGCTGATGACTGTGACATCCTTTGTTTACTGACATGGTAGGCGATATTCCACTTATCCCCAGCCACAAAGAGGTCACTGACCATCTCGGGAAGGTGGCGGCATCACATCAGTAGCCCTGTTGCCAGAGACTACAGGCTCAGACCAGAATGACTAGCAGGGTTCTCACAGCCCTTCCCAGCCCAACAGCATTTGGCCCCAGGACTTACATTCCTCAGGGGGTAGCAAGTTTTAAAGGAGATGTCCCATCTCCTCTCCGCCTTCTCTCCTCCACCCAAATCTCCTCGGAGCTTTTGCATTCACCTACACCTGTGTGCCAGTGTCACCCTCCTTTGGTGAAACTGGAACACAAAAGATATCGCCTGAACCAGCCTAGAGGGAAGATGGCTTTGAAGTTAAGCGGGGGGGCGGTGCATGGGGCTGCCTACAAGGCACCTCACTCCCAAATGACTGAAAGGCCCAATTTCATGGTTCCTATTACAGCAACTGTCTAGATGAAGGGCAAGTATGGATTTGAGTAAGCTGTACATACAGACCCAGATCCAACCCTTTATCACCGTGGCTGTCATTAAGGAATTGCTGAATCACGTACCTTCACAGTCATTAAACACGCTGACAGCTCTGAGTGGGAAAAGTGTCCACTGGAGGAGACCGGTGTTGCCTGAATGCGTTTGAAGGACGCCCTCCCCTCTTAACTACTGTTGCCTTTTAGCGTGCTATGGTGGATGGAAGCCTAGTTTACATTAGTGAGCGAGTCCGCACTTGCCTATCATGAGCGATACGCTGGGTACTCCGGTCAAGAATTACTTGAATGCCAACATAAATTGATTAGTGAGGACCTCTCCCATCACTGCAGTTGTGTCAGCAAAGCTGGACATGGCCGCCCAGATCTCTGGGAAAGGATGCAACGCATAATCAACACTAAGGCACACTATCTACCTGCACAGACAGGCATGGGAGCTGCAGAGTCATCCTGCCAATCCCCACCTCAGTCACCGAGGTACTTCCCAGGAAGGCGGCGTCACGCACAAGGCAAAACGCACCCTCGCTTTGCTTCAAACCAGCGTTTGATAGTGAATTCGTCTAGCTCCACATTGGGAACAATGTGGCCTCCTGGCTTCCATGGCTCGTGGGCCTATAAGGCACGTCACCCAATCAAGCAGAGAGACCTGCCATGGCATTCCACGCGTTCTTGTTTTCATGGGCACTAGCGAGTCTCAGCCATTCAAGGTTTCGTCACAAGTTTCCCCAAAAGGGGGAACTTTCTCCAATAAAAAAGAACGAACAAGGGGAGAACTGGAGCTACTCACATACATGTTAGTCTTCAGAGTAAAGGCATCTGTGTTAGTCAGGGTTCTCTGCAGAAGCAGAACCAACAGGATGTGTGTGTATATACAGAAGGAGATTTATTTTAAGGAATTGACTCATAGGATTGTGGAGACTTAGTGAGCCCAGAATCTAATGGGGGGGCCTACAGGCTAGAGATACAGAAAAGAGCTGGAGTCTGAGTCCAAAGGCAGGCTGCTGGAAGAACTCCTTTCTTCTTGGGGGAGGTCCGTCTTTCTTCTATCAAGGACTTCCAATAATCAGATGAGGCCCACCCACATTACGGAGGGCAGTCTGCTGCACTCAGAGTCCCCTGATGTCAAGGTTGTGTTGTATACATTTTATTTTCTGTATATTATGATGGTTTGGTATCTTTTTAAAAAAGCAACAAACAAACAAAAAACCCAAAACAAAAAAACACCTTTTCTGGCTGGGAAGAAACTGGATTTCCTGGTGCTAATCGATGCTTAGAGCAAAGGGTCCAGCTGGGAGCATGCGTTTGCTATGCCAGCTACGCAGTCCGGACCCAGGCCCCCTCTATGTGGCTCCCACTTTACAGGAGATGACATTCTTCTGCCTGCATCACGCCAGGGCAACTAGAGAAAGCTAGTTGCCTGTGACTTAAAGTTCACCAAAATTATTCACACTAGCCAATCCTCACCTAATTCCCTATCCTGCCTTGTTTTCCCATGGAAACCCTAATAAAGGTTCTGGACTCTGTCTCCTGCCCACACTACTGTTTCCCCATGTGGCCCTGTGGAGTGTGCTCTCCTCCCATCTCTAGGACTTGTGAGGATAATAAACTTTTTCTTCCTGAGCCTCTCCTCTGGCTCCTCTTGTGGCCTCACCTGACTGACCATCTCATAAAAGAACACAAAAAAAATGTTAATCTCACCCCGAGTGCTTCATGGAAGCACTCCCATTAATGTTCAACCAAATACCTGGGCACCGTGTTCCAGCCCAGTTGGCACAGAAAATCAACCATCAAGGCATCTTTTTTTTAAAAACTTTTTTTTTTTTTTTTTTTTGCGGTACGCGGGCCTGTCACTGTTGTGGCCTCTCCCACTGCGGAGCACAGGCTCCGGACGCGCAGGCTCAGCGGCCATGGCTCACGGGCCCAGCCGCTCCGCGGCATGTGGGATCTTCCCGGACCGGGGCACGAACCCGTGTCCCCTGCATCGGCAGGCGGACTCTCAACCACTGCGCCGCCAGGGAAGCCCAAGGCATCTTTAATGGCACCTTAGAGGAGTTCTCATTCTGCTGGGCAGACATCCCATATTTGTGCTTGAAAACAAAGATCTCTTATCAGCATGACCTACCCATGTCAAGGTTCCCACTTGGTTTTGTCTGTCAAAGAAAAAGCTTATGAGGAAACAGGTCTTCCAACAGAATACCTTAGGAAACACACTCTTCCTACCTAGAACACAATGCAGATCTTTATCCTTAACTGGGAACACACAACCAAGAAAAAAGAAGACATGTGAGGCCAACCACAGGCACGATGGAGAAAGCCACCTTAAACAAATGCAAATTGCCTCTGAGAAAGTACTGTTAGTCCTGGAACAAAAGAGAACTTGTAAAAATTGTTATTAGTATCATCAAATGGATGAAAGGAGATATTGTAGTCATACAGTGCTAATAAAATGCCCTGGGGAAACCTCAGAGAATGCAAAGAAGACAGCCACTTATGGATTGTTGACAAAATAAAGTGGTTTAGTTCAGTGCAATATTTAATAAAGCGGAGAAATGCTGTGATGCCTTTAAGAAACATTTCCATCCCAAATGGTTAACAACAAAAAAGAAAATCTGACATGTAGATGAAGGTCCCCTAAGTTCCCCAAGTTCCCAGAGACCACAGGAGCTGGTGGAGCCACCAGAGGGACAAAAAGTCCTAAACGGTGACGTGGAGAAAGTCCCCTCCGAAGCAGGAACAGCCACGGTATGTTCTCACATGCGCCAGGAAAGCACTTCTAGGGTGTTAAGTCACTAAACTTTGAAAGTTTATGTGTTATTGGAGCCAAAGTGGCCCCGACTATTAGACACGGGTCCATACACAGCCTCTAACCCAAGGCTGATGGAAAGTGAAATCCCCAGGCGGTAACTCCACGGACCTAAGGACCAAGCAGGACAACCTGAGAAAGGAGATTTGAGTTCTAGGATGCTGTGGGTGGAAGGGACGCCATGTATCGGATTGTAGGCTAAACAGCTGAGTAAATTTCACAAGATAATAATGTAATACACACACATACGCACAATATTTAATAGCTTCTGGAAAACATCTCCGTGACATAACTGTGGTCCAAATATACAATTATTTCTTCCTTTTCAACCCTTAGAATCAACTACGGACGATGCGGCGAAGATTTCTTTAAGGTTACAGGTTAGAATGCAGTTGTTAACGACATGGCTGCATCAATGGATAACTGAGAGCAGTTGGAAGGTAGATGGGGAAGGAGAGACAGGGAGAGGCGTCTTGTTGTACATGGTGGGTAATCAGGGACGTTGTCTAAAGTTGTTGCATAAGAAATAGATATAGAAGTGCTATGTCCTCCCCAAATGTACACGTGGAAGCCTAATCCCCAATGTAGTAGAACTTGGAGGTGAGGGCTTTAAGAAGGGATTAGATCACGAGGTAGAGCCTCATGAATGGAATTCTCATAAGAAGGGACAGGAGAGATGGTCTCTTTCTCTCCGCCCTCGAAGGGAACAAGGAGAAGGCAGCTGCCCACAGGCCAGGAAGCAGCTCTCGCCGGAACCTAAGCATGCTGGCACCCTGATCTCCAACTTC